ATCTTTTTGTTGTTGAGGTGTTATAGTTTTCTATAAATTTTAGAGATTAGTCCTTTGTCAGATATGTAATTATCGACAAGTATGAATTTGTTGCTGTCATTTTGTTATGTGCTTTTTCATGCTGTTAATTTCTTTGTTCCATGTAATTTTCCGTGCTGAGCTCATTTTGTTTATGAATTGTGTTATCACTTTCCTTGTTGCTATTGTTTGTTGTTGTTGTTGTTGTTGTTGTTATGTTCCATCGAGTCATAGTGGCCCCTCCTTGGGTTTCCCAGGCAGTATCACTAAGGAAGTAGATTGCCCCACCTTCCTTCCGAGGAGTGGCTGGTGGGTTTGAACCGCCCGCCCTCTGGTTAGCAGTCAAGTACCTTAGGCACTATGCTACCAGAGCTCCCACTATTGTTTTAGTATTTGCAAAATATTTGTGCTGGTCTCTTTTTTATTTTGATGTGAATGTTTATCATTTTTCTTTGAGGTTACCCTGTGGCTTATAATTTCCTACCAAGTTTAGAACTGTCTGCCCTGTCTTGTAGTTGTCTTGACTTCCCTACCATTTAGAAGTTCTGTAACTACAGTTTTTTTCCTCTTTTCGGTTTGTAATTACCTTCATTTGTCAGTTGATGTGTCTGGTTCCCTGTTTACAATCTTGTAGGCTTATGTACTTTGTATACTTCTATAATTGGGTTGGTTTCTGGGTTATGTTATCATGTGTGTTGTTGGTCAGTTGTTAGCAGTTGTTGGTTCTCTGTCCAAAGGACTCCCTTTAGCATGTCTTGTAAGGTTGGTCTGGTTTGAACAAATTCTCTTAATTTCTGCTTGTCTACACATGTCCTGATTTCACCATCATATTTGAAGGACAATTTGGCTGGGTATATAATACTTGGTTGGAAATTTTTTTTTTTTTTTTTTTTTCAGTGTTTTATCTATACCATCCCATTGTCTTCTTGCGTGCATGGTTTCTGCTGAGAAATCCAAGCTTATTCTTATTGGTTGTCCCTTACAGGTAACTTTTTGTTTTTCTCATGTTGCTTTTAGGATTCTTTGTCTTTGGTTTTGGTGAGTTTGATGATGATATATCTTGGTGATTTTCTTTGGGGGTCTATCCTGTTTGGGGGTTTTTGGACTTCTTGAATGGATGTATTCTCATCTTTCATCATACCAGGAAAATTCTCTTCCAACAAATCTTCAACAATGTTGTCTGTGGTTTTATTTGTCTCTTCCTGTTCTGGAATTCCAATGACACGTAGTTTATTCCTTTTGATGGTATCCCACATGAACTTCAGGCTTTCTTCATTTTGTTTTGATCTTTTTTCTGATTGTTCCATTTCCAAAGAAGTATTGAGGTATTTGCCTTCAATTTCAGTAATTCTGTCTTCCATTTCTTCAAATCTACTCCTTTGCCCATTCAATGAGTTATCTGTTTCTGAAAATTTAGTATTAAACCTCTGGATTTCTGTCTGTAGATTTTGTATTATTTCTAATTTTTCACTTATTTTGTCATTTTGTTCTTGTATTGTCTTTCGAAATTGTTCTAGGGTTTTCTCTGTATTTTCCTCAATTTTGTCAGTGTTTTCCTTGCTGTCTCTAGATTCCTTGAAGATACCTAAATATAATTCTTTTGAATTCCTTATCATGGAGTTCCAGTGCTGTATCTTCCTCAGGAATGTGTTTTGGGTCTGTATCCTGGTCCCTCATTTCTCCTGCTTCATCTTGCTTCTTTGTGTGGACTATGATGCTCTGTTTTCTCTGAGGCATTGTGACTTTTTGTGTTTATATTTAATTGGTGATTGTATGTTGGAGTGATTTGCCCACGATTTTCATTTTCTTTGTTTTGTTTGTATGTTATCTACATAAGCAGGGTACTCTGTTGTACTTCTTTATTCACTAGTTGGCAGCACTTATACACTCACCACTTGTCTCCTTTCCCGTTGTTTGCCTCCCATATGTCCCTGATGCCCTTGGCAAACGGAGCCTATTCCTAGGTTCCTGGATTCAGAATGAGAATGCTGTCACTTTAAATATCCAAAATGGCCACCACATGTAAACAATCAAAATGGCTGCACCCTCCAGACAGCCGAAAGACCACAGTTCAGGTTGTCTCCCTCCTTGCTGTTTCCCTTCCTAGTCATAGGCCACCAACGTAGTCAGTCCCTGCAGCCCTTGGTGACCAAGGCTGATCTTTAGGTCAATTCTCAGGTCCCATCACCACATGGAAATATTCAGGCTGTTGGTCTTGCCAGAGTAGCTGACAGTCTAGTGCTCTGATTATCTCCATACTCAATGTTTTCATTCAGGTTTGATATACTTCTTTCAAAGCTCAGGGCTCCAGGATTATCTTCTGGATCTCTGTCAGTTGGTTTCTCTTTTCTTTGTTGAAGAGTGTCTCTGGAGCTTGTTTGCCTATGCTGCCATCTTAACAGGAAGTCTATAGCTTCTTTTAAATACCACTTTAAAAAATTAAGAAAATAAACTTAAAAGAGGCTGGTGGAACCCCTCAGACTATGGCCCGCTTCAGGCCTAGAACTGAACTCATCCCTATGGCTCAACTTTTAGCCAAACAGTAGATCTATAAGGTGAACAGGTAAACAAGGAGTATACAAACTCCATACACCTGTCAACCATATAAGATCCATTTGCCCAGGAATAAATCACAGAAGGCAGGAAGGCATCGGAAAGAGGGATGGATGGAAATAGTAAACACAGGGAAAAAGTGGAAAGAGTGCTGTTACATTGTGCAGATTGCAATCAGTGTCACAAATTTAGTTTGATAGTTCTTTGGTTTGGAAAGTACTAGGTAAAACAAAGAAGTTGTCAAACCTGAGAGCTTCTCAAAGCCTTCAGCATGGACAATGAGAGAGAAGCTGGGCAGACTGACTCCCTTGTTTCATTGCTTAGCTCTGCAGGCTTGTGAACAGTGATACACTGTGCTCATAAAATAGATATGCAATAAAATTAAAACACACATTTGATTACAAATCCATTTTATTAAGATATGTAATGTGTGTATTTTTATCTTCCTTATTCAGGGTCTGGTATCCTGCTGTTTATTTTCCATGCAAACTTTTTGGGTAAAGAAGTGATAGCTCGACTCTGTGGACCATGTAGTGTACAAGCTGTAGTTTTAAATGATAAATTTCAACTTCCTGTTTTTCTGGTAAGATTTGTTTGTAGTTCAGTACTGAACATTATTACTGTGTTCTAATCAAAAGTACAGATAAGTTTTTGTTTCAAATCCTTGTATTTTAATAGAATACAGTCATTAAAATTCAGTAAACCAGTTATAACCTATAATCATGAAGTAAAATTATCATAAAAGTTGTCAATAAAAATCTAATTCATTTTTGCACCTTAAGTTATGCTTCAGTAGTGCTTTACAATCTACATTATTCTGAATGTAAAGTTTTATGGTTACAAAAAATTTATTGCCTGATTTTAAATATTGTGCTTTTTTCCCACTATTATAATAAAATTTATTTAAATAAGATTCAAACTCAAAACTCACTGCCATCTAGTTGGATCTGACTCACAGTGACCCCTCCTTGGGTTTCCGAGTCAGTATCACTATGGAAGTAGATTGCCAAACCTTCTTCAGAAGAATGGCTGGTGGGTTTGTACCACCAGCCTTCTGGTTAGCAGTCAAATGCTTTAGGCACTATGCCACCAGAGCTCCCAAAGAATATTTAGAAAATTCAAAAAGGAAAAAAAGTTTATCTATTCATGTTTTCAATACCTAAATTCTATCTTTGGTTGTATTTATGATTAGTTTTAAAACATAATTTGAATGATCTTTATTATAATTTAGTTTTACTTTTTTTAATTCATCATGAAAATTTAAAATAAAAATAAGTAATAAATTATATGCTAGTGGCTGTATAAATGCTCTGTAAAAAATGTTCTTGAATCTTTGTGCATAAGACTTTGCCACATTTAGAATTCCATCATTAAACTGAATTAAACAATTTAACTGGATATAGACATTTTTAACACTCTTGCTATATGTGGCTAGATGCATTGTAATCTCAAAGACTTATCTTGATTAATGTTTTTCCAGATAGAGAAGGTTTTTGTTTTTGTTTTTGTTTTTTTGTCATTTACATCTTTTTAATACATTGAAAGATAAATAAATCATGGCACACTGAGTTATAAAAAATCAAATACAGAACTTCTGTATGATCCCCTTTGAAATCATTTGAGCCTTAAAAGTTTCTGTCCTCTATTATGATAGTTATACTGTAAAACTAATGGTCTGTTCTTTTAGAAACAGAAGTTTTTGACAAAATACTGACTTTATTTTTTTGGTCTCTTTCTCCTCTAGGATAGTCACTTCGTTTATTCATTCAGTCCAGTTGCCGGCCTAAATAAACTCTTCATAAGGTTGACAGAAGCGCCCTCTGCTAAGGTGAAAATTCTTTCCTCATATTTAGTGTCACTTCTCGAACTGTTACTCTAAATCATTGTATCATCATTAGAAAAAATTTTCAAGAATGTGGTGCTTTTTAATCTTTGGAAGAAGGGCCTATCCTAGAGACAAGTATACCCTAGGATAGCAGTTTTAGGTGCACCTGATTTTGTGGATCTAAGATGTGTCAGACGTAAATAATGAAAATGTGTCAAGAAGAGACTAATGAGAATACATCTGTATAAGTCAGTTCTAAGCTTTTATTATATTATAGGCCACAACTGTAATAATACTGTTTTTAACATATGCTGACATCAAATTATAAATGTTTTTATTTTTTTTGTAACAATGGAAACAGTACCAAACTGAAATTATTGCTAAATAAGAGGAACGAGTGTAGGCTATTATGTCTTTTCCTCTTTGTAGAAAAGGAGGACTCTTTACTTCTGTACTGACATATATTTTTTTCTTTCAATAGGTTAAGTTGCTAATAGGTGCATACAGAGTGCAGCTGCAGTGACCAAACAAAAGAATGTGACGGAGTTCTTTTCAGACCTATTTTTAAATACTCTCTTCAAAGCAGTTTGGAATTCTTCTGGCACATTTACCACTTTCAGATTTAACGTTTTATCTGTAAACTTCTTGCAATTCAAGGCCTGTCATCTGTTGTAGTCTGTAAGACGGGGGACAGTTGTTCTAAAAGATTATAAAATACAGATGTAAGTACTCGTGCCAGTATTCTGAAATCTCAATGTTGTGGTGTCCAGACTGCATATTTCAGTTCTCCACAATGTGGAATGCTAAAGGAAGACTATTTAAGAAAATTAAAGAAAGGATCTTTTTTAAGCTTCAAATTTTCTACTAGCCCTGGTAAATTTATGTGTTTTTTTTAAAAAAAAAGGATAAAGTTTTATTTGCTTACAACAAGGGAGGCATGTTACATTCAAGACACCCAAGCACTAAAGTAGGAATTTGCTGCTCTTGAGGAATGACTAGTCTGGATAGGCATGCTGAGGATGGAAAAATCTGATCTATTTATAATAAATAGCTTCTACAGATCCTGAATAATTGGAAAAGTTTGGAGTTGATAATAACTTTCTAAATTTGAAGCTATTATTCTTTAAAAAGGTAGCTAGATGTTAATATCTGAGTCTAAGATATAGTAAGAATGTAAACTAGGACATTACCCCTAAAGAGAATGTTTGTGAAATTTTATCCCTATTCATCACGTAATTTGGAAAGGCCTGATCCTGTGCCCTTATTTTGAATAATTGGAAAAGCTTAAACCCTACCCGTGCCTTCTTGTCCTGGTTGCTACTTTCAGATGCCACAGTGTGCCTCTATGTGAACAATTTTTGTGTCTATAGATTGCTTATGGGTATATAGTTCTTATGTCCTTTTAAGACAAACATATTTTCCAAACACTAATTAAGCTCAGATTTTCTTGTTCCTGATTAGTTTATAATTGTACAAATTGTAGTTCTAATGAAATTTTCAGAATGTCACATACTAGATTGACACACATTTTATAGGCAATTCAGAGTACCATTTTTACTTTACATCTTGACACTGTGTTTTCCTAGTTTTCTCAATAAAACAATGTTGGTTTTTGGGGTTTTTTTTCCCCTTTCTGAGTGGAGTTTCAGGACTTTGAGTAAAGTTTGTATTTGCTTACAACAAATCTTTGAGGAGGATAATAAATGTGTGGTTTTCAATTTAATGGGGACTGAAAATGTGCTTTTTCAACTAAATTGAATCATGTACTAGTATTATATCTGACTTCATAGCTTCCTGAAGTAAAAAGTTAATGAGGTTAGAATTAGCAACAGGGCATAAGCTAAGAATACTAAGGGAGACAATAGTATCTTGATCAGCTACATATAAATGAGTTTTATGTAAAATTTGTTTTATCTCAGGATCATGCCTAGGATATGAACGGGAAAAAAAAGGAATAAATTCATCAGAAAATTCATTTTTCAAAGAGACAAGGCTATATAAGATTAAAAACAATAGAATACTGATTATCATTCCTTTAGAAGCTTAGGTTGAGAAATGTGGAAGCTGTGAAAAATCAGTAAATACGAAATTTGTTAACAGGTGAGACTGGACCCTAGGCATGAAGGTATATTTGGAAAGGTAGGTTAACTTGCCCACCTTTTCAATTTTGACTGAAATAGAGAAAGAAAACCATGTTAAAATCTGAGATAACTTGGAGTAACACTGCATTTGAGTAATCCCTGTCTCAGCTTTTAACAAATTTCTGTCACATGGCACATAGTTACTCCGTCTTCACTAGAAATACAATGCATAACCTTGTAATTTAATACAGTTGTTTCGTTGTAACCAAGTTAACAGCAGACTTGCTTTCTCTGTGATCCTTGAATGCACACTGAAAAATAAATGTTGAAATTTGGTGGCTTAAAGATGTAGAATACTTGAATTAAGCTGGAAACTCTAGATTTAGGTCTGTTTTCTGATGAGGCAGCAGTCCTGTCAGAGTGCAGATAATTCTACAACTTTGGATTAAAGTGAAATATTCTAGGCATATGTAAGCAATGATTTCTCTGGGAAACAAAGCAGTTCTTTAGTAGCAACTTACCAAAAGGTTTCTAGGTAAGATATGCTTAGTACTACAGGCCAAATCCAAAGCTGTCTCCTTCTATAGTAAAGAAAACTGATGGGTAGTACAGAATATGTAACTGAGGTTTATATAGTACAGGACCCAAATGATCTTATAACTAAGCAAATAATCACAAATTGAATTACTTTTGCCCAAACTCAATGAAAAGCAACTACTACAAACCTTTTTCTTTTCAAATTAACATTCTCTTTTCTTTTTTAATTATTATTTTTTTTAATTTATTGTGATTTGGCTGAAGATTTACAGAGCAAATTCACTTTCCGTACACCAGTTCACATATACTTTGTCTAATGTCGTTGACCACAGTTTACCACAATGCAACAGCTCCCCTCCCAATTCCACCCCATAGTTACCTCTTCCCAGTGACCATCCTTCCATACTCTCCTGCGCCCTGAGCTGTCTCCCTGTGCATAAGCAGCCCTTCCTTCTCCCATGATTGTTCTCTCCAG